ACCCCAAGACCCAGGGTGGATGGAAGCCGCGGGTCACATTCCAGCTCGCGGTCGGTCCCTGCCACAACGCCCACAGGTCTCCCTCCTGCTGACCCCTGGCACAGCCTGTGCGGCCTTTTTGGTACTAGGCACAAATATGCCTTGTGACCACTTTCATCTGGGATTTCTATTTATAACTCTTAGTACATGGAACTTATCAGACTTGCAGGTCTTGTTTGGAAGCTCTTTGGGGGCAACTTTCTTGAGGGTGTGGGCCACAAAAATCAGAAATAAAGGATGTTCAAGCCAGAATTTGACAGGGTGGGTCAATAAGACTTGATAGATGTGGTGGGTCTGAAACCTGGGCTTCCAGATCCAAAGGCCACTGTTTTTTCCGTAGGACTTCAGTATGATAATGATCAGGCCCCTCAGTGATTAGGGCTGGGCTAGGCATGGGGGGCTGTGATCCCCACTCAGTATTGACTGGAGGAAAGATTCTTTTTTTTTTTTTTTAAAGATTTTATTTATTTATTTGAGAGCGAGAGAATGAGAGAGAGCACATGAGAGGGGGGAGGGTCAGAGGGAGAAGCAGACTCCCCGCCGAGCAGGGAGCCCGATGCGGGACTCGATCCCGGGACTCCAGGATCATGACCTGAGCCGAAGGCAGTCGCTTAACCAACTGAGCCACCCAGGCGCCCTGGAGGAAAGATTCTTAAAGCAAACAATTCCAGGGGCGCCTGGGTGGCTCAGTCGATTCAGCGTCTGCCTTCAGCTCAGGTCATGATCCCAGGGTCCTGGGATTGAGCCCCACATCGGGCTCCCTGCTTTAGCGGGGAGTCTGCTTCTCCCTCTCCCCCTCCCCCCACGCATGTTCGCTCTCACTCTCTCTCCCAAATAAATAAATAAAATCTTGTTAAAAAAGGAAACAATTCCATTCTCATCCTCAGTGTCTGAGCTCTAGGGACGTGGTCCCCATGGTCTCTGAATCCTCTTAGTGCTGTGCACATGGTGGGCTCTGGTTGAGTGACAGGGAAAATGGACAGAAGAACAGAAGGATGGATGTGCGTACAGTAGATGGGTGGGTGGGTACAGGAATGGATGGGAGGATAAAAGAATGGACAAATACATGAAACAAGAAATGTACTTCCTGATTTCCAGGAACCAACCATAAGGAATACGTATTCAGTGTGTAATTGTGTATGGCCCCAAGTTCAGGGGAGCATTAAGCCAATTCAGACTCCACCTTTGGGAGCGTGACACACAGTGGGACAAAGTCATGCAGACGGGGCAGATGGGGTTGGGGAGATCATGTGAAACCCAACAGGAATGGAGAGTATAGGTGGTGGCCATTTAGGATTCAGGCCAACTCGGGTCACTACGTAGCCAACAGAATGTTTGAAGGTTAGTTCCTAAGAGTCCCATATAATGTTGCTGCCAAGTCAAATCCCCTTTGTGGAGTTCTCCCTGGTTTGGTCCAGCCCCAGCTGCCTTTGAGGAAGGATTCCTGCCTTCCAGTCTAAATTGCACATGCTGTCTTCCCTCTCCTAATGTCCCCAGAGTCAGTATCTGCAAGGAAGGATGAGCTTTTGGAAAACACTGATTCTTAAGTTAAGCCATGAATGAGTGCAGTGCAATAGAACTACAGATTTGAAAGCCCCTTAGTGATCAGTCCCAAACTGGACCATTTTATAGACAGGAAAACCAAGGTCCAGAGAAGGGAGAGGACTTTCCAAAGTCACATGGCCAGTCAGTGGTAATGGGAACCCTGGTCTCCTGGATCTCACCCCCAGTCAGGAATCTGTGGCATGCTCTTCCTCTCTCCATCCAGCAACCCCCCCATGCTCTATACCCGTCCTGCCTTCCTGGCAGAGGTTTTACTATTCCTCAGTGGAAATGGAAGAGAAGGTTGAACCCTCCAGAAGTTCTAGGGAATCCCTCTTCAAATCCCCTCCTTGGGACATAGCTTCATGGTCTAATTCTCTGACCTCCCTGTTCATACTTGAGTTTGACCAAATGCAGCAACACTTGACCAGGTGGAAAACTGGGAGCTCAAGGTCAAGGAGAGCAGGGAGAGCACAGACTGAGGACAGAAGAGAAAGGAGAAAAGAGGTCAGGAACTGACCTTTACCGCTCACCCACCATCCACCAGGCACCGTGCCAGGTAATTGTATCTCCCTGTTTGTCACAACCTTACAAGATAGTGGACATTATCTCTGCCTTACAAACAAAAACACTGAAGCCGGAAAAGTGCCTTGGCTCATAGAACTGGTCAGAGAGGAGGCTGAGATCAAAACCCGGGTCTCCCTGACCCCAAAGCCCTCGCTGGGTCATGAACTCATAGACAGTGTGCTCTGTCACAACACCCCCAGGAGTTCTCAGGAGTCACCCAGGAGGAGCTAGACTTTCGGTGCTGAGGGCCCACACCACCAAGGTCAAGGCTAACAGGGGCCAATGCAAAGTCTTGCACTTAAGTTCAAAATGACATTTGCACAAGAGCGTAATGGAGACCTGGTTACTGGGCAGCAGCTGATCCTGATACTGTCCCGTCATAATGTGGTTACATTGCTTTGTATTTCCAAAGCACTTTGCAGTTTAGGAAGCCCTTCCACTTACCGACCTCCGAGCTTTGATTGACCATAAACAAGCATAAGTCTGGAAAAGGTTTGGGAGTATATCAATAGGGTGTGTAGGCTAGACTCCCTGTAAGGGTAATGAGCTGTTTGTTTGCATTAATCCAGTATAATATCAATAGACTTCGCGCTCAGCCACTGGGCTAAATATACATGTTTTATCTCCTAATTCTTTTTTTTTTTTTTTTAAGATTTATTTATTTATTTGAGAGAGCAAGAATGAGAGACAGAGAGCATGAGAGGGGGGAGGGTCAGAGGGAGAAGCAGGCTCCTCGCTGAGCAGGGAACCCGATGCGGGACTCGATCCTGGGGCTCCAGGACCATGACCTAAGCAGAAGGCAGTTGCTTAACCAACTGAGCCACCCAGGCGCCCTCTCCTAATTCTCACAACAACCCTCTGGAGCTCGTAACTCCTGTTTCACAGATCAGAAACCACGAGGTGAAGAAAGTCGACCAAGGTCACAGAGCTAGAATTCAGGCTTAGGTCTGATAAGTATCAAGACAAATGTCATCCTGGACATTTCAGGCCCCCTCTGGAGTTATGCGTCCAGTTTGGGGTGCTGTATTTAAGGGGGACATTGACACACAGAGAAATGAGGAACCCATGAAGGACACTATCATTGTAAAGATCGTTTGAAGGAGCTTGGAATATTTGTCTTGGGAAAAAAATAATCAGAGGACATATCATTGCTGTTCTCAAGGGCGTAAAACTCCTTAACAGGTTGGTTCACAGGACTTTTATCAACCGTTTGTTGGTTGGGTTAAACGGGATAAACTGTAGCCAGCTGCTGGCGCCACCTACTGGTGAGAGGTAAAATTGATGTGCTGATGGCTGCCGCCCAGTCCGTGTTCCATCCCTGAAGTTCGGTTTCGCCTTTCTTAACGTAGAAGTGCTTTTAAACCTGGCAGATTGTCATGTATAAGAAGTAGCACATTTACCTTTGTGGCAAGAGAATTAGGACCACTGGATGAAAATTATAAGGAAGGATATTTTGGTTTCAACATGAAGGTTAATTTTCTGAAAAAACATCCCCAAAACTCAAGGGGCTGCTTGGGAGTAGTGAGGTTCATGTCTGTGGAAGAAACCAAGTCATGCTGAATCTCCCATGTTTCGGTGGTGGGCAGAAATCAATCCCAGTGTTTTGGTGGGTCTAGGGCATTCATGGGTTACCTACTCTGAGTTATATTTGGCCAGTTGAGTAGCGGTTACCTACTCTGAGTTACATTTGGCCAGTTGAGTAGCGGTTACCTACTCAGAGTTACATTTGGCCAGAGTAGCGGTCGGCCAGTGTTGGTGGCATCTATTGTCTTATCCAGGGAGGAACTTTTAGGCCAGGCCAGAGGGAAAGAGGCTACCACGGGGGCAGAGAAGGGGGGTAGATATTTGGGACAGGTGGGATCTGGCAATGTTTATCTTCCAGATACGGCTCTAACACTTGACCAAGGGATAGGCAGAGAGGAGTGACTCAGAGAGTAAATGGTCCTGACCTTCCATCACGTCCCAGACTGACCTCCCACACAGGACCATTTGTAAACAACCCGAGGGAACAACAGTTCCTTGTAGATTCTGTAAATGCAATTAAGGCTGTGCTAAAGACAGAGAGGTTCACAGTGTGGCCGAGGGCGGGGAGCAGTCAGATAGGACCGGTCGGGGAGCTGGGGCAGGGGCTGAGCCCCAGCCTGTGTGGGTTTTCTCATCAAAGCCTGTCGTTGATTCAGGGCCTGGGTGCCGGGCCGTGTGTGCCTTGCACATTCTCCGGGAGGCAGTCCAGTGAGGATACGCGGAGAAGGGGCCGCAGGATAGGACAGACCCTGGCTCGAATCCTGGTACGGCTCCCTGTTAGCCTTGTGAGTTTAAGTTGATTGCTTCTCTACTGTGAGCCTCAGTTTCTTCATCCGTAGAAGGGGCAGTGATTGTACCTTCCTTATCCTGGGGGGTATGAGGATTGAATGAGACCGCCTTCATAAATAAAGCACTGAGCACCGTATTTTATTTAATTTATTATTATTATTACTTTATTTTATTAATTTATTATTATAATTTATTTTATTATAATTATAGATTTATTTTAATTTATTATTTATCTATTTTTATTACTATATTTTTATTATTAAATTAACCTCTGTTAGTGAAAACCATTCTCCCCCTCCCTGCACCCTCCTTGCTTTCCTATGGCCACAGACCTGGTCCCAGACACATTTGATACTGAAGTGCCCCTGCTGGGCCTCACTTGGTTAACAAGAACCGCTGGGTCCCACACATGAAAACACCCACAGCCTTGGCCGTCAATGTCCCGCCACCCTCCCTCCCACCTTCTCTGATGGGGCAGGAACAGAGATGTGATTGAGAGCCTTGGATCCTGACATAAGGCAAGATACACTCTGAGATGACTCACTGTTCCCTCAGAAGGACTAGCCGGGCCATCCGAAAGGAGGTCTGCACCCAGAACTGGGCACCCACGAGGTCTCCTTGAAGGGTCTGCGGAGGAATCTGTGTCCCAGTGGCCTCGGGCAGCTGCATTACTGGTCAGTGTGTGCGTGTGTGTGCGTATGTGTGTATGTTTGCACGCACACATGCAGGTTTCCGTAGTAACCTGTCAGGAGCCCGCGTGGGGATCCTGCGGGCTTTGAAGTTGGCAGGGCCCGGTACATAGGCCGGCTCTGCATCTTCCAGACCGTGTAAGCAGGGAGAGACAGCTTTAGAGCCCCAAGCCTTGGGGTCCTCATCTGATCCAGGGGAGAGGAAAACCTATTTTACATGGCATTTGCTAATTAAATCAAAGCATGGGTTAAAAAAGAAAATGCCTGGCCAAAGGTCTTGGCACTTAGCGGGCCCTTGGGTAGAGGCATCTGTCATTTTTGTGCATGTTGGTCCAACGGAGGATGTGTCCACAGGCAGGGTTTAGCTTATCCAGTAATTATGCCATGCGTCTCTCACTAAGTGATCCTGGATCAATGGCTACCTATTTGTCTCTCTTTTCTGTTTTTAAGATGAATTTTAAGAAAACATAATTGGTGAGTCTTCTCAGCTTGACATCGGTGGGGATAGAAGCAGGTTTAGGCAAATGCATCATAAAACTCTTTATGATGGGGTAGGGAATGGTGGGCAGTGGGGGACAGGTGCCTGTCTTTGGGAGTAGCAGTGAGGGGCAGGGGCTGGGCGGAGACTTCCATTCCGTATTCTCATATGGGTCCAAATTTATTTTTATAGAAAGAATTTTTTCTTGTTTTGAGCTCCAGAGCCACCTGTCTCCGAGTTCAGCAAATATTTGCTAATACCCACGAAAATACTAAGAGCTATCATTTATCGAGCACTGAGAGCACTTTCCATACTTAACCTCAAACCCTCAGCTCCCTTGGGAAAAGCTACCTCATTTTACAAATGAGCAAACCAAGCTGGGAGAAGTTCAGTCATTTGCTTCAGCACTTCCACTGGCAAAGGTGAGAAAAAGCAGACAATTTATATCTGGGAGAAGTAGAAGAGGATATGAAAAAGACCCCAAACAGCCTCTACCCTCAAGGACCCGACAATGGACATGGAAGGTTGACTGCTTCCGAGACACGTGTTCTGGTGATGCTTCTTTGCAGAGTGCAGCCGGGGGAGCAGAGGACCGATGGCTAACTCTGGCTAGGGCAGCGGGGAGCCTTCCCAGGGGCGGCTGGGCCCAATCCTGAAGGATGTGTTCATTTTGGAGGGGCAGCTGGCAGGGGAACATGGCCAGTGGGCCTGTTCAGCGAGGTCAGGAAGGAAGAAAGGTTGACCGGTATGAGGAGGTCAGGCCGAGCCACACACGGCTCCTTGGGAGTCCCGAGGATCTGGGCTTCGGGAGGAAGGGACAGACAAGAACTATGGGTTTTTAGGCAGGGCCCCATGGCTTAAAGGAGAGCAGAGAAAGTGAAGGCAAAGAGGGCCATTCTGAGGCCGAGGCCCCCATGGGGTGGGGCAGGCTGCAGCAACCAGAGCCCCCAGCCTGGGTGCAGATGACCTGCCCCCCGTGGAGGTGCCCTGACCCATTTCCATCAGGAGCTGGGCGGTGAAGGGCTGTGGCCCGAGGTGGGACGTCTCAGGAGACGCCCGCTGTGGGGACCTGGGCAGCCTGGCCACTGGCAGCAAAGACCGGGAATGACGGGGCCGGGTGGGGGGGGAGGGGGCGGAGTGGTCTGTTGTCACAGCAGCTTGGCAGGGGTTCGCGTGAGGAGCAGAGGGGCTGGCAAGAGAGGCTGGAAACAGTGGAGGGTTTTCCCTGCCAGCAGTTCAAATGTGGGCACTGGGAGGTGATTGTTTTTTTGAGCCCGAGAATGCTGTGATCAAACCTACAGTCTCTGTCTGTCTCTCTCTCACTAGAATGTGAGCTTCTGGAGGCAAGGAGTCTGTCTTGCATTTCACTAGTATGTTCCCAGCATCTAGCCCAGCGTCAGTCACTTAGTAGGTGCTCAATTAGTATTTGGCTAGTAAATATCTAGAACCATGATCTTCCAGTGTTTATGGGTATATACAGATGTGGTAAACCTTTTAAAACTTCAATGAAAAGAAAACACACTAACGGCCGAGGTAGTGGTTACTTTGGGAGAGGGAGGAAATGAGGTAGAAGTAGAGTAGAAAAAGGATTTCAACTGACTCTTGCTTTTCTTCCTTAATAAAGAAGAACTGAAGAGAATACGATCATAAACATTTGTTCAGTCTGAGTGCTGAGTATATGGGCTCTTATGACATCATTATTTGTAATTTAAAAATACTTATTTTAAAAAGAAAACAAATTGGGTGCCTGGGTGGCTCAGTCAGTTGAGCACCTGCCTTAGGTTCGGGTTATAATCTCAGGGTCCTGGGATCGAGCCCCACATCGGGCTTCCTGCTCAGGGGGGAGCCTGCTTCTCCCTCTCTCTCTACCCCTCCCCCTGCTTGTGCATGCTCTCTCTCTCTCTCAAATAAATATATAAAATATTTTTTAAAAGAATTGTGTACAAATATTGTGTTAGGTGTATAGGACATCTCTTCTCCGGAAGATGGAGTCACCACCATGAAGCCTATGTCTTCTTAGCATTACAAATAGGCCTGGATAATTCTTTTCCTGGCAGCGATCCTTCACAGGTCTATAAACTGTAATAAAAGTACTGTTCTGAAGTAGAGAAACCTCGTTGGTGTCCCTCCTCTTCTTGATGCCTGTCGTTCAGAGCAAGGGTGGATGCTACCATACGCTCAGAATATACTTCTTGGGGGAGGATCTCGACACTTGTTCCTGGTGGCGTGACATCGTATTAACCGGGAACCCCCTGGCTCACTCCTCAAGTGTAAGATTGCAGGCTTGTGAATTTGGATTCCTGCCCCCGTCAGGGAAAGAAGCTATACTGGGCACTCAGAGCCTGTGTTTGGGTCCGAGCTCTATGTGTTCCTTGCTGTGTGACTTTTGTCCCTTCACTCAGCCTCTCTGAGCCTCAGTTTGCTCAGCAGTAAAATGTGATGACTGAGAAGATTAACGGGTGAGCTGATACAATGTGTGAAGGTGCCTATGACAGAGCCTGGTGCCTGGCGGACGCTCAGCACGCAGGGTCTGTCGTCCCACTGAGGGCTTTGTGCAGCCTGGCCTTTGTTCTCTGTCCTGCCATCCCAAACCATGTCCATCCCTCAAGGCCCATGCAAATTTAGCTTTTCCTTGAAACCGTTCTTCACAGCCCAGGGATGGCTTATGTCCCTGACTACTTAATAGCATAGTTAAATTTTCCATCTGCTTGCTTATTTATTTATTTACGTTTGCCTCGTTGGATTGTAAAGCTTCTGAAAGCAGAAGCATCATTTCAGGCATCGTTGTGAGATACTGACAGTCCCACCAGCACGGGAGATGGATGTCCTGGGTTAAATTCAAACTCGGGGCTCCATGAGGCGTTAGGGACTTCAGTTTCATCAGTAAAACGACCATCATAGCCTCCCTCACACAGTTTCTAGGAGATCAGTTTAGACATTCTGGGTGAAACCTAGTTAGGAAAAACTTAATAAATATCGCTGAATTAATTTATACTGCTGTGAACAAGGAAGTTGTTTTTTTTTTTTTTAAGATTTTATTTATTTATTTGAGAGAGAGAGAATGAGAAACAGAGAGCATGAGAGGGAGGAGGGTCAGAGGGAGAAGCAGACTCCCTGCCAAGCAGGGAGCCCAATGCGGGACTCGATCCCGGGACTCCAGGATCATGACCTGAGCCGAAGGCAGTCGCTTAACCAACTGAGCCACCCAGGCGCCCAACAAGGAAGTTCTTTACAAACGTCAGACATTATTTTTAATTCTCCACAGTAGATAGCAAAAGGCCCTGTATTTACTTGCCGTGAAGAAAAGCCACCTGCTTGACTCTTCTCTAGTCATCCAAGTAAAGACCAAAAGAGGCATCATACAGACATTGTAAAGCTCACTCTGGTGTTACATGAAATTTCGTCTTTGTTCTTGCCAGGATCGAGATGACCACAGCCACCCCTTTGCGGGGTACTACCTTCTTCTCCTTGAACGTGACCACCAGAGAAGAAGACTTCCTGTACAAGAGTAAGGCCAACTTGGGTCGGTGGCCAGGGGAGGGATGGCGGAACGAGGACTGTGGTCAGCTCCTGGTGTAGAGGTCAAGAGCGTGGCTTCTAGAGATAAGACTGCCTGGGTCCCAGTTTCACTGCTACCATATGCCCACTGTGACCGTGAGCACATCACCTCACTGCTTCGTGTCTGTTTCCTCATCTGTAAGCTGGGGATATGAATGAAACTATTAACATCACACACTTTAATGGTGTGAGGACTAAACCAGATGATCCATGTAAGGAGCTTAGAATAGCCTCGATGCACACAAACTACCTAATGAGTATTATTATGATCATTACTGGTATGACTACTATTATCATCAGGGAGTTTTGGGTTCTAGAGGGCAACAGACAGTTGAATCTCCTGTAAGATGTCCCTAAACGAATCACCTTAAAATGTAACTACTTTCATACGATTCGTACGATTTTTGCAAGGCAAAAACATCCCATCAGTTCACAAAGGAGTAAATGAGTGTAGGTGGGAGTAGTCCTGGGGAGACATTTGCCAGGAGCAAGGGGTCCCGGAAGGAAAAACTTAACAACCACTCTTCAGAAAACCAATTAATTGTGTTAGGGGAAGTTGGGCCCATTTCCGTCATTTCTGTTGGTCTGGCACATACCCATGCACGTGGAATAGGCTTCCTGACACGGAGTGTTTCCCCAGTGATAACAGCTCCAGACCGCGGTCCTGGCAGGAAGTCGACTACTGACAAGACGTGTGTCTTCGTGGAGACCCAGAAAGGGTCACTCTTGGGACAGAGACCCGTGTGTCAGCCTGCTCCTTGCCAGGTTGGGAGACCTCCAGAGGCCTGCTGACGTAGCTCGGAACAGTGCTGAAGGGAAATGCAGGGTAGATCGAATCTCCGTCAGCAGGATGGGAATAATTCTACTTTTACTTAACTAAAAGTAGTGGTTCTCAACCAGATGATTCTGCCCCCTAGAGAAGACGGCCAGATTTTGAAAATAAAATATAGAACACCCGGTTAAATTTGAATTTAAGGGAAGTAGTGTTTGTTTAGTATAAGGACATGCCATGCAATAGTTGAGACATCCCAAAAATTATTCATTATTTGTCAGAAATTCTAATTTAAATAGGTAGCCGGTACCTTGTCTGGCCACTTTACTATCAGGGGACATATGACAGCGTTTGGACCCTGTTGCTTGTCACACCTGGTGGGGAGGAAGAAGCAGTATGAATGATATCTAGTGAGTGGAGGCCAGAGACGCTGCTAAACGTTGTACAGGCACAGGAGAGTCCCCACAGCAAAGGGTTATCCAGACAAGGTTACAAAACCATGGATTAAAGCATCATCACAGGACACCCCAGGAAGGAGACAAAAAATAAGTTATTCCATAATGGATTCCCCACCCCACCCCCTTTTTCTTTCCTTCCAGTCTTTCTTCCTGTGACTATTTGGACAGTTTTGTTCTTGTTTTTATTTAGTCAGCCTTTTTGTGAGAGCATTACATACATTCAAAAAAATGCACAAATCAGAGTGCACAGCTGGATGAATTTTCACTAAATGAACATAGTTGGGTAACCAGCCCGCAGATCAAGAAGCAGACCACCTCTAGGATCCCAGGCGTCCCAGCACCCCTTGCCACACTATCCCCACCTGGTCAAGGGAACCCGCTGTTCTGACTTCTCTCAGACATTAGTTCTACCTGGTTTTGAGCTTTATAGAAATGGAAACATACCGTACATGCCCTTTTATATCTGGCTTCTTTTATTCAACATTATGTTTGTATGCACATACTTTAACGGTTGCAACATACTGCGTATATGTGGGTGTGTACATAATATCACATTCTCTTTTCCACAAATCATTCAAACTATAGGGCAATATTTCATGAGGTAGGCATGCCATACCTTATTGAACCATTCCTGTGTTTAGAATATAAATAACATTGTAATGAACATTTTCATTCATACAGCTTTTTCTGTATTTAGGATTATTCCCTAAGATAGACACCCCAGAATCAAATAGATTGGCTTAAAGTATGACCCGCCCCATATGGTTTTTTTGTATTTTCAATTTCAATTCCCACAAGGATGTTGATTTTGAACGTGGAATTAGAGGTGGCCAAGGAGATTGAGTGCTGATACTGAAATTAGAACCTGAGATACTAAGCCACAAAGACATTCATTATAGCCTTGTTTTTCATAGTATAAAATTGAAAACAACATACATATCCTCAATATGGAATTGGTAAACAAGTTATGTCACATCCAAACAATGGGGGACTACATAGCCATCAAAGTCATGAAAAACAATGTAATGACATGGGAAGATGATTGGGATATGGTTGTAAAACTGCATGTTCCATTTTTATCAAGTGCATATTTTCCCACTTTTATGACTGTTTCCTTAAGGTGGATTTTCAGACATAGGATTAATAAATTACTCAAAAAATGTGGAGTAGATAGGTATTTAATACGCATACATGCGTATACATGATGACATTGGTGAAAGTACGTATGTGTAGATGATCAGTGGTTCCTGGGGCAATGAGTTCCTTTTTTTTTTTTTTTTTGTATTTTATTTTCAAAATCAGCTACAAAATTACATATTACTTTGTATCATCACAAAGAGGCAAGGGCATTTTGCTTGCCTGTTTCACAAAGGAAGTTGGATGCTGTGTTAAGACTGATAACAACAGGATGGCCTGAGACAGGATTTGGGCAGGTGATGTGCTGAGGACACCGCCCTCCAAGCCCCCCTGTGGGGAGGGGTGCCCCGCCATTCTGGATATGTCTCTGTCCTGGGGTCAGCAGGCAGGGTGCCAGGACAGCACATCCTCTCCTCGCCCAAGCCAGTGAGGATGGGAGGTGCCAGGTGGAGGTCCCCCTCCCAGTCTCTGGATGCTTCCCTTCATTTCAGTTTATACGTTTGCCATTCCCACCCCTCTCCTCGTAGGTTCTGGAGCCATTGTTGCGGCCATTGTGGTAGTTGTCATCATCATCTTCACCGTGGTTCTGATCCTGCTGAAGATATACAACAGGTACGGGATGCCCTGGGCTCTGAGGCTCTTGTCCCTTCGGTGATGTCAGAATGAACGCGAACTAACTCTTTGGGGGTGCCAGCCGCGTGCCCCGCAGGACCCATGAGGCCGTCGTCCAATGCTCGAACCCTTTGTGGGTCCTTTTTTGACATCTGTTCTCCTGTAGGAACTTCATGGTAACCAAATATTTTTGTACCTGCAGAGATAGTTGTTAAATATAACAATCATCATGACAGTGCTAATGACCTTGAGCACTGCGGTAAGGTGACGTACGGTCATAGAGGAATATGTTCCAATCCTTTAATCTCGGGGAGCCCTCTGCTAGGCTGTGTTGAGCAGACCACGTGAGTATTTGAGGTGACAAATACTGGGATGCCTGTACCCCCAGCTCCGTTTTCTGGAACCAAATAGGAGGAAATAATACCATGTGATTGCATAAAGAATAAATGTTGTGTTACCACCTCTAAGTCACAACTTCTTCCCAGGCAAGAAATCAAAATAGACTATAAACACAACCACATCATAGAAGACTTGGAAGCCATTAAAAAAAAAAAAAAAAGATATTGCAGAAGTGTGTTTATTGATGAGGAAAGCTGTTTACAGTGTATCAGCAAAGTTTACAAAGAGCATATGTACATTATAGTTATACACGTGGTTACACACACACACAACCAAGGAAGATTCAAATGCTACATGGCAAGGTGTTAACAACCAGTGTGTCTGCATGATGGAATTGCTAGTTGCTTGGTTGGTTTTTACAGGGGGACCCCTGTATGTCTTTATTTTGAGGAGGTGCAAACATGCATTGTTTTTATAATAATGTTAATGTTATTTGTAAAACATGTATGTTTCATATTATATATGTATCTAAAATGTATATATAATGTACACATATATTATATACATATATTGATCTCTTACCATGTGCCAGGCATGATTCTAAGCTCCTTGTATGTATTAACTCATTTAATCCTCACTACAACCCCACCAGTTGGGTAATTCTATATCCCCCAATTTTGTAGGAGTGAAACACGCACTGGGAAATAAGCCAACAAGCCCAAGTTTACTCAGCCTCGGTGGCAGAGTTGGGATTTAAACCCAGTACACATGGTTTCAAAGAAAATACTCCCACCACTATGTGTAATAATAACAACAACACTTAATAAGTTATTTTTACAATTTTGAGGGTATTACAATTTGGATCCGTCCCAGACCAGGAAGTGGCATCCAACCATAGTGTCTGCCCTTCATCCCTGTCCATCAGTGCTGGAGCTCTGAGCCCCTTTCCTAGGTTGTAATTTGGATGGAGACTACCCACCCCACCCTGTTTACAATGATGCCTGGGCTGCAACTGAGAGACCAGAGCTCGGTCTTTTGTCTCTCAAAGGCAGGCAAGTCATTTTAACCTCTCTGTGCCTCCATTTTGTCATCTTTAAAATGGAAGGCTCTCCAAGTGGGACAACTGAGTGATGGTTGCATGGAGAATACCCTTGTTTTGAGGAGTATTTAGGGGTGAAGTGGCATGACGTCTGCAACTGACTGAGATAGTTCAGAATTTAAAAAAACACTCTGTGTATATGTATGTGTGTAGATGTACACATGTGTAAATGAAGAGAGAGAGAAAGAGGCAAATGTGGCAGACTGCTGGTAATCAGTGAATTGTTCCATGAGGGGTACTCAGGTACTAACTGTACTATTTGTGCAACTTTTCTGAGCATTTGAAATGAAAAAAAAAAAAAAAAGCATTATGTTAGGTCAACAAGATGAAATTTCATGTAGATGTTAGAATTAATGATTGGTATAGTCATTGAATTTTCTGGCATATGAAATGAAAGATTGGATATACATTTTAAGTCCATTCTCTTCTCAACTATGCAAAAAGTTCTTAAATATTTCTAACAATCAACTTGGCAAGCATAATGAAACTGCAAAATTTAACTCACACTACAACTTTGAACAGAAAAAAAAAATCATAGTATCTTCATTTCGTCTTTAATATAGTCACCTGACACTTTACTCATTCATTAACAGGAAAAAATAAAATAAAATTAAATATCTAACCTAAGTTACACAAAAAAATGGAAGGGTCAGGCTAGCTGATGTCTAAGGTTCCTTCCAGTTGTAAAATTCTGTGGGTGGCAATCAAGCAACGTGATTTAATGATGATCTACGTTAATCTCCTTGCCAGAGCCAAAATCATAGGGTATAGAAGGTGGAAGACTCAAGCATGCATGCGTATCTCATTCCAGGAAAATGAGGACCAGGCGGGAGCTGGAGCCCAAGGGGCCCAAGCCAGCCTCCCCTTCTGCCTTGGGCCCGAACAACAACAGCAGTCAACACCCTGCAACCGTGACCTTCAGCCCCGTTGACGTCCACGTGGAGACTCGGTGACCCCCCCCCCCCACCTTGGTGCTATCTTGGCCACCATCCAAAGAGCCTTCTCCAGTCAAGACCCAGAAGCACATATCTCCTCTGGCAGCTTCACTATGAGTTCCTTCCGGTTGGGTCGACAAGGGGCATCTCATGCAAGTCTGGATGCTTCCAACCCCCAACCCTGCCCTGCCCCGCCCCACCCTAGCTGTGTCCATGTCCCTGCTGCCACCCTTCCAAAAAGCTGTGGGACATTGTTTGTGCTCTGATGAGGTAGAGCTATGCCGGCAATCCACTGAAGTGGGTGTGGCTCTCTCGCCCAAACACAATTGCTAGACAGACAGCCCAGGAATCTTCTGGGCAGGAGTCAGGGGTCAGAGCATGCTCCCAAGAGTATCACCGCAGAGTCTGCCACTGCGGTCCTATAGGAATCAGTGCTGTAGCCACAGCTTTGCAGAGCAAAATACTCAATGCTGTTCATCGGGCACAGGGGAACTAACTTGAGCTAACTAAGCAAAAAACCAACCTGTTAATTTATAACTTGTTCCTGTACTAGATGACTGCTAGCTAGCTCATGACAACCAGTCAGCAGATTTCTCCGTCTTTAAGAAAGGTAATGGGGGGCGCCTGGGTGGCTCAGTCGTTAAGCGTCTGCCTTCGGCTCAGGTCATGATCCCAGGGTCCTGGGATCGAGTCCCACATCGGGCTCCCTGCTCAACAGGAAGCCTGCTTCTCCCTCTCCCACTCCCCCTGCTTGTGTTCCTGCTCTCGCTATCTCTCTCTCTGTCAAATAAAAAAAAAAAAAAAAAAAAAATTTTAATAAAAAAAAAAAAGAAAGGTAATGGGAAAGACAATTCTTCTCGAAAGGTTTCTACTTCATCAGCAAAGAGTCAGAGGACAAGGAATAGGGTGACCTTGAGGAATGATGGCCTCTAGGGCAAAAGCTTATTGCGGTGTCCTCGGGCCTTGAATGAGCCAGGAGCGGGTCAGAGCCCGTCCTCTCCCTTTGGGGCTGGATTAAGCCTAACTCAGTCTCATTTCTTGGCTTCCCTCTGTTTGGATTCTGAGCAGTCCCCTCTCTCCAGGTCACATCTTACCTCCAAGGACGAGTATTAGAGACGGATAAGATTACAACCCTGTTTATGTTACCTGTGTCCTTCCCGGTGACCTTGCAGAGATCCAGGGCACATGTAAAGCACCACGTTCGCAAACCATTTCTCTGTACGGAGCTGATCTCTTTGACTCCTTAGCCCAGAGAACAATCTATTGAGAGGGAAAAGCATTTTGAAATTAAGAAGGCTTGCCTTCCAAGCCCTACCTCCTGGTCGTGTGGCCTTGGAAGAGTCACGTGAGCGCTCCTTATTGGGTTTGCTAACCATAAGACTCACAGACTTGACTTTAATTAGTCAAGGACTTGGTAGGTAGAGCCGCTCGGGTGGTACCTGGCACTCAGCAAATGCTTAATTCATGAGAGCCAGCATTATTGTTACAGAATTTCTTCAATTGCAGGACGTATTTGTTCACATGTTAAATGATTCTGAAATCAGAATTTGTCTTAAAATTGATGGGTCCATTAATGTAGTATTTTTTTCTCTCTCCAAAAGCTGTCATGTACCTTACAGTTGAAGGCATCTTGGAAACAAGGCAATAAATCTTTACTCTGTTGCAGAAAGTGACACACTCTGACCTTTAACCTCAAATTCTAGGGGTCTCTTCCTCTTGGAGGCAGAAATCTCTTCTGAGGGGAAACTGAGGGTCAGGAAGGTAAGAAGGCTGACCCAGGGTCACAGAGCCATGTCATCCCACTATAAAAATGCTCGCTTGGATATGTCTGGAAAAATACTGGTAAATTCTTCCTGCCCAAACATCTTTTCTCCCTACTGTGTTTAAATATCCACCATGTACCAGGTACTTGGCAAGATGCTTTCACATAAATAAGCTCATCAGATATTTTTCCCAATAACCTTGGGAGGAATTATTTGTTCTGTTTGCAGGTGAGAATTGCAAATTCCAAGAGAAAGGTACTTGTCCACAGTCACACAGCTAGTTAATTTGCAAAGATAAGACGCAAACCCACATTTTTGACTCCAAAGTCCCACTCTCCGTTGTACCACATTCTTCCCTAACATCCTGGCTCAAAGAACATGGATTCTTTCATGGGCCGAACAGGAGGAGGACCGGCTTGTCCATGTGTCTGAGCAGAGGTCAGGAGTCTGGCTTCCAAACTGACAGTAGGGGCAAAGCCACTTTGGTAGCCTCCTTTGGGCTCCCATGATCGAAGCCGAAGGACCCCTCTCTGAGCCCATCAAAGCTCTAAGGATTCCTGTTTCATTTCCCATAACCCTTATGCCCAAGGAGCAAGGGATAGAGTGCCATCCAACCAGGGAAAGCTATTTCCTGACGGACTCAAACCCCAAATAGATATGTTTCCCAAAAGTGTTCTGCTTTAAAAAATATATATGTATATATATATTTTTTGTTTGTTTGTTTGGAATGTTCCAGCCCAAAAACCAAACTCTTCTGCCCATACTGGAATCTTCCTGGAATTACTAGAGGAATTATCCCTTGTTATGTGTTCTTTTGCTCAATGAAAGCTTGGAAGTGGAGGAGGGGGGAGAGGCAGAGAGGTAAGGGGAGCCCAAGAAAGGGGTTTTAGTGTTTCATTTTTTAGCTAAAGAAGATAACTCAATAAGCATCCTTTAAGGGCTCCTGTGTGCAAGTTGAAGTGCTACTAAACATATTGTCACGGTCCCCACTCTCAAGGAATCTGCCACCGGTCTCCTGGGACAGGGATCTTGCAACACAGTGGAGTACGTCATTTCTGACAGGTGCCTTTCCTAACTGAGCAGATGCCACCTTATTTGGCCACTGATTCGATAAAAGACATTAAACATCTAAAGAAAAATGTCTAGGGGCGCCTGGGTGGCTCAGTTGTTAAGCGTCTGCCTTCGGCTCAGGTCATGATCCCAGGGTCCTGGGATCGAGTCCCACATCGGGCTCCCTGCTCCGCGGGAGCCTGCTTCTCCCTCTGCCTCTCTCTCTCTCTCATGAATAAATAAAATCTTAAAAAAAAAAAAAAAAAAGAATAAATCCCTCGGGGAGAGACAGAATGAAATTAATAAAATAAAATGTGTGTCAGGGTGCCTGGGTGGCTCAGTCATTAAGCGTCTGCCTTCGGCTCAGGTCGTGATCCCAGGGTCCTGGGATCGAGCCCCGCATCGGGCTCCCTGCTCAGCGGGAAGCCTGCTTCTCCCTCTGCCTTTCTCTCTCTCTCATGAATAAATAAAATCTTAAAAAAAAAAAAAGAATAAATCCCTCGGGGAGAGACAGAATGAAATTAATAAAATAAAATGTGTGTCAGGGCGCCTGGGTGGCTCAGTCGTTAAGCGTCTGCCTTCGGCTCAGGTCGTGATCCCAGGGTCCTGGGATCGAGCCCCGCATCGGGCTCCCTGCTTGGCGGGAAGCCTGCTTCTCCCTCTCCCATTCTCCCTGCTTGTGTTCCCTCTCTCGCTGTCTCTCTCTGTCAAATAAATAAATAAAATCTTTAAAAAAAAAAAAAGTACAATCCAGGGTACCTGGGTGGCTCAGTCGTTAAGCGTCTGCCTTCGGCTCAGGTCGTGATCCCAGGGTCCTGGGATCGAGCCCCACATCGGGCTCCCTGCTCTGCGGGGAGCCTGCTTCTTTCTCTGCCTCTCCCCCTGCTTGTGATCCTGCTCTCACTGTGTCTCTCTCTGTCAAATAAATAAATACAATCTCAAAAAAAAAAGAAAAATGTCTAAAAATAAAGAGACTTAAACATTCATTGAGTTGACTTCAGTTTAAGTTAGAGTTAACGAATACCTTTTCTAAGAATTTCCTTTCCCTAACAATGTAAATAGGGTCCTTCGGAGAAGCCTGAGGTGTTGCAAACACTGTATTCTCACTGCTAATGGGTGATGGGAAAGGTGGGCTGCCGGCAACGGGCCTTTCCATGAGTGAGAAAACCTGTCACCTTGATGAACTATCACAAAAGGAATCCCATTTCAGAGCCGGTCGTTAAACACCCGACGCGCTGATATGTCGAGGTTTGGGGACCTCTGGGAGTGAAGGAGACATTAGAATGCAACCCGAGTCACCAATAATGAAGTTTACCGTAACTGAGCTCCTCGTATGTTCTAGGTGTATGATGGGTCTTTGCTACCCACCAGCTCCTCAAACCGTTACAACCCCCACGTGTAGGAGCCATCGCTATTTCTACTTTGGGAATGAGGAAACAGGCACGGGGAGGTAACACGTCATTGGGTAATGCAGTGGACAGGTGGCATTCTTGGGGTGGCCATTCTTGTGTTTGGGGAGTCTGCTACTTAAGAAGCAAGACCACCTCTTGCTATCAAAGCTGAAAAGGACAGACACTCATCTTCCTGGAGTCCCTTGCTGCTAGGGCGAGGGCAGAGGACCGAGGCCCTGCCGATCAGGCACCCCTACTGGGGACTCTGAAGCCAGAAGTTGGTAACATCAGGGGATAGGAACGGTGCAGAATACGCTCGGGTGGCAGAAAGGTGGCTCACTGCCTTTCGAGAGGCAGCCACAGCAGGGTCTCCAGCAGCACGGCAGGCCCATTCCTGAGTCCAGCCCTGGATCCGCGGAGTTGGCTATGCGAGCTCAGTTTGACGGCAACAGCCGTGGGGTCTGGACCCAACTGGCTCTTTAGTGTGGTTTTAGGCACCATATATGACAGCAAAACACTGAGCCTTCTGGAAATTCCAGCAACTACCTCGTTCCATTTTCTGCTTCAATCAGCAGTCACTTCCTGCTGCCAGTACCTAGGGGCTATGTGCCTGTGGGGGCCTTGCTCATGGCCGCCCACCTCGGAAGTGGCTGGCACGGGAACCCGGGTCTCCAAAGCTCTCGCTCCGTCCTCACACATGCTGCTGGCTGACGCTAAGTGATCAAGGGATCCACAAAGTGCTATGGAATCAGACAGAAGCTGGAGTGGCCTCCAATGACGTGTATCTCAGAGACTTTGTGAATGTTAATGAGGAAGTATTTTAAAAGGACCTGGAAGAATGGGGAGGATTTTTTTTAAGTAAAGTCTTCTTTTTTTTTTTTTTTTAAAGATTTTATTTATTTATTTGACAGAGAGAGTATGAGAGACAGAGAGCACGAGAGGGGGGAGGGTCAGAGGGAGAAGCAGACTCCCTGCCGAGCAGGGAGCCCGATGCGGGACTCGATCCTGGGACTCCAGGATCATGACCTGAGCCGAAGGCAGTCGCTTAACCGACTGAGCCACCCAGGCGCCCCTAAGTAAAGTCTTCTATTGGAGTACAACACACACACATACACACACACAAATATGTGTGCAGTTTGCAAAATGTTCACAAACCGAGCTCACTTGTGTAACCAGTATGAAGGTGAAGAAAGGGCATTACCAGCATCCTAAAAGCTCCTTTCCTCCCCCTTCCCTCCTCATGTCCCACAAAAGGTAACCAGCGTCCTGACTTCTACCTCCCTAGAACACTTTTATCTGGAAGTAGAATCGTGTGTGAACTCTTTTGCTTCTGGTTTCTGTCGCACAACATGGCATTTGTAATATTTGTTCATATTGTCACATGTAGTAGAAGATCATTCACGCTCATTGTGGTCATCTTCGTCACGTGATGCATTTTGTTTATCCACTCTACTGTTTGATGCACATAAAAGTTGTTCCCAGTTTGGGTCTGTAACAGGTAGGACTGCTAAGTACAGTTCGGTGGCTCAGTTGGTTGGACGACTGCCTTCGGCTCGGGTCATGATCCTGGAGTCCCGGGATCGAGTCCTGCGTCGGGCTCCCCGCTCAGTGGGGAGTCTGCTTCTCCCTCTGACCTTCCCCCATCTCATGCTCTCTCTCTTTCAAATAAATAGATAAAAATCTTTAAAAAAAAAAAAAAAAGAACAGTTTGGTGGTCATGTACGTATTTCTGTGGGGAACATTACCAGTTGAGGAATATACAGAGTATATGGATATAGGCCTTCGTCAGCAGGGCCAAATGGAGTGGCACCAACTTGCATCCGCCGCCCCCCCAGTAGCATAAGGGAGTTCATCTTGCTCTACATTCTTCGCTGACACTAGGGTATTTTCAGAATCTTGAATTTCAGTCATTCTGATGTGCCCACAGTGGTCTCTCACGATGGTTTTAATTGAATTCCCTGATGATTAGTGGAACTGGTCCCTTTCTCGTATGTTTTTTTCTTTTGTTTTTAAAGATTTTATTTATTTATTTGAGAGAGGGAACATGAGCGGGAGGGGGAGGGGCAGAGGGAAAGGGAGAAGCAGACTCCCCGCTGAGCAGGGAGCCCTACACGGGGCTCGATTCCAGGACCCTGAGATCATGAGCTGAGCCAAAGGCAGACACTTAACCGACTGAGCCACCCAGGTGCCCCTCCCTTTTTGTATGTTTATTGGCCCTTTAATCTTATCTTTTGTAAAGTTACTTTTCCATTTGTCCCTTTTTTTGGTTTTGGTTGTCTTCCTTTTTCATTTTTGACTTGTAGGAGTTTTATATACATTCTGGATATGTCTTTTGTCTTTGTTATCCTGTGGCTTATCTTTATTTTAATAACAGCTTTATTGAGATATAATTTACATGACATCAGGTTTACCCTTTAAAAATATACAAGTCAGTGGTTGTTAGTACACGCATGGAGCTGTGCATCCATCACCACTAATCAAATTCCAGAATATTTTCATCACCCCCAAAAGAAACTCCATACCCATTAGCAGATACTTCCCATAGCCATCCCCCTCCCCAGACCCTGACAACCACTAATTTACGTTTTGCCTATGGATTTTCCTATTCTGGACATTTCATATTAATGGAGTCAGACAATATGTGGCCTTTTATGACTGGTCCCTTTCATTTAGTGTAATGTTTTCAAGGTTCATCTATGTTGTAGCCTGAAATAATACTCCCTTCCTTCTTGTGGATGAATATCCTGCCATTATATGGCTATACCACAGTTTATCTAGCTGATGGACATTTGGATTGTTTCTACTTTTTTTGCTATTATGAATAATGCTGTGGTGAACATTCATGTACAAGTTTGGTGTAGACATACATTTCAGTTCTCTTGGGCATGTACCTTAGTAATGGAATCACTGCATTATATGAGAACTCTGTGTAATCTGTTTTTTTTTTTTTTTTAATTTAATTTGTCAGAGAGAGAGAGCACAAGCAGGGGAAGCTGCAGGCAGAGGGAGAAGTAGGCTCCCCACTGAACAAGGAGCCCGATGTGGGACTTGATCCCAGGACCCCAGGATCATGACCTGAGCCAAAGGCAGACACTTAACCCACTGAGCCACCCAGGCATCCCTAACTCTGTGTAATCTTTTGAGAAAATGCCAAACGGTTTTCTGAAGTGGGGGGACCATTTTACATTTCCACTAGCAATATATGAGGGTTCCAACAGCTCCACATCCTTGCTAACAT